GGGAGGGATGGGGTTTGTGGTGGAAAACACTCACGGTCTGCTTCCTCCTGGCTAATGTGCCAAATTGATCTATTGCATGATTGAGGCATGCTGTTTCACTTTTTTGTGTGTGAATTCGTGAAAGGGGCGGTAGGGTTTGTGGGTATGGAGCGTGCTCCCCTGAGCCCAAGTTGAGACCAGAGTGGCCCCTTTCACTGAATTCGTGAAAGGGGAGGTAGGGTTTGTGGGTATGGAGCATGCCCCTGAGCCCAAGGTGAGACCAGAGTGCCTCCCCCTGCATCCGTCTTCCCCCATCCCCCAGCGTCTCAGTGCGCCGTGTCCGGGAGCGGCCCTGGCGCGCTGCAGCTAAGCAGCTGGTATACATACCATTAAACCATTTAATGTTTTTAAATAATGTATTTAGTGTATTTTCAAATTATTACAAAGCAAAGCAATTTTTGGGGCCCCTTCCATAAAAAAAAGTTGCAATACTATAGTAACATGTATTTGGAAATGTAAAAAATAACCAGTGAACTACATTCAAAAATTAATTTGTAATAATTTGAAAATACATTAAATACATTATTTAAAAACATTAAATGCTTTAATGGTATGTATACATTTGCAATTACATAATGGGCTGTTGCTGGGTGATGGTGATGGTTAGGATGGGGTCAGGGGGGTGCCCCGCCCCTTACCATGGCGCTTACCCCCTCTCCTGGAGCCTCAGCGTGCTGCGTCCAGGAGCGGCCCCGGACAGCGTTGGAGCCACCGCGCTGCAGTGCGCCAGGGCCGCTCCCGGACGCAGCACGCTGAGACACCGGGGGAAGACGGAGGTGGGGGCAGCCTCCGACATATTCGTCGGGGCCCCTGCGGAAAATTGCCCCACTTGGCCCCCCCCTCTGGGCGGCCCTGGCCCTGCAACACTTGTATAGGATAGAGAGGAGCTGCGGTGATTAAGCTTTGACAGGCTAGGAATTGGAGGCCTGTGCCTTTAAGACCCCAGTCCCAGGAACCCGCCCTCTGCTCCGAGGCTGACATGCAGCGTCCCTGTGAGAAGAACAAAAACAGCCTCTGCCCCCCCCACACCCCTAGATTAGCGAGCACAGTGGGTGGCTTATCCCACGGGGTCACTGTCCCCCCCCTCTCCCCCTCTCTAAACGGGGGTTTTGTACCCGCACGGGGTCTGGCAGTGTCTCCCCCCCCCAGCTTAACCCCGGCTCTCACCCCCCACCCCCGATTTTTCCCCTTCAGCCCCTCTTCTGCCGCTAGCTACAGTAGCTTGAACCCCCCAGGCCAGTAAAATTATGCCCCCTGCTCAGACCCTGACAGCCCCCCGCTGCGATTTGCCCCCCTTAATCCTTTTAAACCCCCCCAAAGAGGAGGCAGCAAATCGTAAGTAGAAGTAAGGGCAGAGAGAGGGCAGTGGCTACAAGGAAGGTTACTGGGCATGCTCAGTTTGAGTGAGCATGCTCAGTACACCCAAGGTAGCAAAACGGGAGCGAGAGCAGTTTGTGCCGCTACACGTGTAAGCCTTTTTCTGCAACCATGATGGCTAGAAACTTTTTTTTTTTTTTTTAAGGGAAGCTGAGGTTCTTATGTACTCAGATGACTCTGAGAACTGGGGCTTTAAGGAAAAACAGGGGGAAATGTGAGAGTTGGCAACACTGTCAGGTTCCTCCCCTTAGGTGGGGGAGAGGGACACCATCACACTGAGTTGCCCTGCTCCTCTCCTGGGAAAGGGGGACTGCTCCATGCTATGTGAGCAGAAATCCCTCTCCCACTAACACACACTCTCAGCATGGGTGACACAAACTCTGTGTGTTACTCATGTCCCTGAAGCCTAATTTCATCCAGCAAACTCTCACACAGTGCAGTTCATTCTGGACTTAGCTGTACTTTTCACAAGGGTTAAGGGCTTTCCCACTTTCTATTGCTTGAGTGACCTGCTCAAACATTCTCCCTCTCCTGAGAATTACTTTTGCTCCTAAATCAAGGAGTGTAGGTCAGCACCTTGCACTTAAATCCTAAAGTACAATCTTCTGGCAGGCCCTTTTGGAATAAGCTCTCCTAGGTCAACTTTCCCTGAACTGATGGTAGAGAATCAAAATCACAGAATTTGACGGATAATAATGTTCCTGCCAGTAGTGTGGCTTCTTATTCTGGGCTATGAGGTGTTTGTTTTCCTTAGTCAAGAATTTGATGTATTTATTATGGGGCCCTAGTCAGCTATCTTGGGATGGTGGCCCCCATGTGGCCACCTAAGATCCAGGATCTTCTTGTCCTTCCTGTTACACTATTTGTGGTTAGGTAAGCAAACAAGGACATAACTTGCTCCAATTTATCATCCATTGCCTGGAACATTTGCTTAGTATCAGGCCCCTCATCCACTGATGGTTTCTTCTGACTTTCCAAGTTCTACCCCCTGTATTCCTACCTTTCTTTCGCCCTACTGGCTGACACGTTATCGTCCCCACTTTCTTTGGAGAGTGATTTCTTGTTGGAGGTTAACTTTCTACCTCCCAACCCTAGCTCAGCTTTTTCAACCTCCAGGGCATAAATGCTGCCTTGCTGGGCCATTCTTCTACGCACTACAAGTGCCTTCTGGACTAGAGTGAACATTTAGCTCCTGGGGGTTTTATGTGAATCTAAATCAACTCTGTTCTTTCTCTGACATAGGTTGGTATCTTTTCCAGCTACAGCTGCTTCATATGACGGTACTGGTCTGGATTTACAACACCACTAGCATTGAAGCAAACCCACCTCATTTCTCCATAGAAAGACCTGTTGGTGTCATCCTTACAAAAAAAAAGCTTGTAAACCAAAGGGCAGGGTGTATCTATGCATAGTAGTTGATTAGCCCAAGGCATGATTTTTCAAAGTTCTGGCTGCTGTCTAGGGATGGGGTTTGTGGTTAATGTCCTCTTTTTAAAAAAAACTAATTTTATCATTTTCTGAAACACCTTCAAAATTTGCTAGGGAAGTTTTGACTAGAGTAATATGCTCATGAATTTTGAGCTTCCTCCGTATAGGAATCAAATTGATCAATATTTAGCTTCCTTGAACAATTATTTTCCTTCTGGGCCTTCAGGTATGGCGTGCCCTTCCCTGGGAAGGGTTCTCTCTATCTGAGGACTCCAGGAGCTGCAGGGGTCTTTTTAACCTCCACTTAAGAGTACTCCTGACAACTCATGGTTCTTGTCCTCAACCCTTCTACATTCTGCAATTTTCCTATCCAACCTATTGTTTGTCCCTCTGAAGGCCTCAGCCACTTGATCTATTTCTACCCATAAACTGTCTACATCAGGGGTCGGCAACCTTTCAGAAGTGGTGTGCCGAGTCTTCATTTATTCACTCTAATTTAAGGTTTCACGTGCCAGTAATATATTTTAACGTTTTCAGAAGGTCTCTTTCTACAAGTCTATAATACATAACTATTGTTGTATGTAAAATAAATAAGGTTTTTAAAATGTTTAAGAAGCTTCATTTAAAATTAAATTAAAATGCAGAGCCGCCAGGACCCAGGCAGTGAGAGTGCCACTGAAATTCAGCTCACATGCCACCTTTGGCACGCGTGCTATAGGTTGCCTACCCCGATCTACATCTTGCTCTAACCTCTATTTTTCCTCTCATAGTTTGATCTCTTTCTTTTGACCAATTCTCTATCAATATTCTGTTGAACAGAATGGAACCACAAGCATTATAGGAGACAGGATCTTCCTGCAGTATAGTACCTGCTGCCACATCTTTAGTGATCTGGCTAAGAGTTTCTTGTAACTGATCGAAATCTTGTCTTCCCCATTTTGACTGGTCAAACCTCTCTATCTTTCTAGTTAGACAGTTTACAGTGAAGGAAGTTACCTCAATTTCATGTTTCAAATTAATTGGCTGATACTTGTTTAGGGACTGGAATTAACTAACAATCTCACAATCCAAATTTATCCCTATGTCGGTACCTAGATGGCCACCATCAACAGTTACTAATGGTAAATTTCCCCACCTAGACATGCCAGCAGAACTATACTGGTACAGCAGTCATATTGCTAGTTGTCCACAGGGGGAGTTATACCAGTACATTTATTCTGGAATAGGAGTGTCCACATGGGAAGTTGTACTGGTATAGTTCTGTGTAGAGAAGCCCTGAGTGCTTCAGAATCTTTAATGTATTTGTTGTCCTAACATTCCTGAGATTGGGAATAATATGCTTCCCTTTTTACAGATGGGGAACTGAGGCACATAGAGACTACCAACTTGCACAAAGTTACACAGGAAGTCTGTGTCAGAGTGGGGAATAGTTCTCCTGAGCCCCTGGCCAGTACCAGGACTGAGAACTGCTGGATAAACCTGCCTCTGTAGAGAGAATCATCTAAATTAGCTCAAGGGCCACATGTATTTCCTACCAAACTAAGGCCCTGATCCTTCCAACACTCCCATCTGTGCATAGCTTTACTCATGGGAGTAATCACATTGAAATAAATAAGATACTTCACATGTAAAGTTACACACATAAATAAGTGTTCCCAGCAGCCTGAAACTTTGTCTCTGGCCAAGGATTAAACCAAAGTGACTTCAGATATACAAAGCATTTCTGTGAGATAACTCAGGTTTATGCTTCCCAAACAGTCATGCTGAAGATGATTAAAAAACATCAGATAAAAGTTTTAAACTACCCTATAAACAGTGTGGCTTAGTAAATAGAGCACTGGTGTGGGAAGCTAGAGCCCAAGGCCAGTTGGGACCACTACGACTGAGTCTGACCTCCTCTACAGATGCAAGCCAGTCTGAATGTTTCTATCTTCAGCTTCCAGCCATTGCATCTTGTTATACCTTTTGTCTGGTAGATTGAAGAGCTCATTACCAATATGTGTTCCCCCTGTAGGTAATTATAGACTGTGATCAAGTCATCCCTGCACCTTCTCTTTAAGCTAAATAGATTCTCAGCTCCTCACCCCGCTCTCAGCACTCTGGATCCTATTCCTGGTTCTGCCACTGGCCTGCTGGCTGACTGTGGCAAGTTACTTCACTGATCCCTGCCTCAGTTTCCCTGTCTGTAAAATGGGGGTGATTATACTGAACACCTTTATAAAGTGCTGTGAGATCTACTGATAGCTCTCTCTTCTATAGCGCTTATTATTTTTATTATTAACTCAAGCTGGAAAAAGCTTAGGACATATAGGGGTGCATGGGAAGAGAGAACAGAGCTCAAACTGACTTACATTCTTGACTTTTTCCTGGCTGTATTGTTTGTTTTGTTTCTAGGTTCCTCATTTGAACCAGAAAGCCTGGAATAACCTGGAGAAATACTGCAGGAGTTTAACAAAGTACAACAAGAATGTATATGTCTGCACTGGCCCACTCTTCCTACCCAGGTAAATACCAGAGCTGGATTGAAACTGATCTTAAAACATGCATCATACAAGGAAATTAAGATGGGCTAAGAATGTGACTTGTCTTGTCATATCCTCTCAGGATAAAGGTCAGAAATAGCAAGACAGTAGATACTGTTTTAAACACTCCCACAGTTTCCATGTATACATGTAGGGATTTTGTGGGCTAGTTTGTTATGCTTGGGATTAGTTTATACATTTTTCAATTGAATAAACCCCTGAACGCACGCTATCCGATTACCTGGGTAGAATTAAAAGGGAAATAATTTATGTTCCTTCAGTGCTTTCTTTCTGCACTTAGTTTGGGAGAGTGACAGTCGCTTAGTCATCTTGCGCTATATTTCATAGTCACTTTTACAGTCTGGTTATCTTGTCAGATCTGGTACTAATAGTGCCACAAGTGCATTAGCCACAGGCTGCAATAAAGGGCTAATCTAGCCTCTTGCATAGTCAGGTTTTCCAAATAAAGGTATAATCTTTGGCTGCAATGAACCATGTTTAGAGGCATGAAGGGCAATCACTTGAACAGACTCAGTTAAACAAGGACCAAATTAGATATGGTGATGGGGAGTGGAATGTGTTCTGCAGCATATTCATTCCTGTTTCACTGTGTAAAGGGTCTACCAGATTAGCTGGGGGTCTAGACCCTGCTACAGCACTTGACAACTTTAAATCAAGAACTGATGTCTTTCTAAAAGACAAGTTTTATACAGGAAACACTGGGTGAAATTCTAGTCCTGCATTATGCAAGAGGTCAGACTCGATGATCATAAGAGCCCCTTCTGGTCTTAGTTATGTATATATTAATCTAAAGCAATGGAAGACAGTCTGTGCCCTGAGGGGTTTGTGCACATGAGTACTAAGTAAGAGGCAGCAGTAACAGTCTTGTTCTTTGTGTAGGATGGAGGCAGATGGGAAGATGTACATCAAGTACCAGGTGATTGGCAAGAACAATGTGGCAGTCCCCACGCATTTCTTCAAAGTGCTCATCCTGGAGAAGCTCAATGGAGAGATTGAGCTGCGTTCCTATGTGATGCCCAACAGCCCGGTAGAGGAGACAATCCCACTTGAACGTTTCCTGGTTCCTATTGAGAGCATCGAGCGTGCAGCGGGGCTGCTGTTTGTTCCTAACATCTTGAAAAGAACAAATCGTTTACAAGCCATCACTGCTGGACGCAACAGCTGAACTCACCCAGGGGATTGATGACAGAACACACTATGGGGGTGAAGGTATCCAGTGGAAGGGACTTAAGTTACTACAGTTATTTATCAGGGGTATGTATGGGCTCAAATGTATTCTCTCTCTCCCCCCCCCCCCCCTGCTTTTTTTTTTTTAAATGGTCTAGGAGCTTTTCATGGGCCTGCAATTAATTAATAGGGTTGTCTGTTTCCTGAGGAGGCAAATACCAAAGATGTTGTACCCTTGTATGTTTGGCCCTAAAAATGGCTCCTGGAACTTAATAAAAAGTCAGTGCAGTATTTAAAAGTGCTTTCCCCACCTACTTCTATGCTTGGCTCAATGGGTGTATCTCTAGATGCTACCCCCAAAGTCCCCTTGACTCAGTCAAGAGGACACCAAAGGAAATGCTCTTACTGAGCTATATGCTTTCAGAGTATGAGGCACAGGGAAGCCACTTGGTTCTCAGGATTAACTTAATTTTGAGGGTGACTCTTTACTGTTATCCCTGTGGAACAATGCATTTTGTGCCAGTTTCACTAATCCATATTTTGGAGTTTCAGTGAAAATTAGTAGTTTCTTACTAACAGCCAGTACTGTGATGGTAGACTGGACTCCTCCAACTATTTCTCTGGTCCTCATTGTTTTAGCTTTCAGACTTAATGGACTCTGCCTGTCCTTTAATGTAAGTGGGTTTTAAGGTTCATGATTTCAGGTATTGAGCTAACTGCCCTCAGGAAAGCTCAATGCTGTCTTAAGAGTGAGGACATCAGTGAAGTTCCATCCTTGGTGGCTGGTGTGATGGCTTATAAGGCCCATGATCCTAAAGGACACTACACTTCCTGTAAGCAAGTTAACATTGTAATAACAGACTCCTGCCAAAACTATTAGGCTTGACTCTAAGCGGCCATAGTATTTACATAAGGAAGCTAGACACTCCCTGTACAGAAGAGAAATGAAGGAGCACTTACACTACAGTGTAATGGGTTATATACCTACTGTAGCTGGTCCAACAGCACCATTGTTTCATGTAAGAAAGAGTTAGTCTTTCATCAGTGCTAAAACTTTATATCAATATGAGGTTTAGATGGAGTACACCATAGGGTTAGTTGTGACACCCATGTCCACTAGATGGAGGAAAGTCCCAGGCACTCTTTGCATTGGCTGGATCTCCAGAAATTTACACTCACCTTTGTTAGTGGGTACCTATTGCTGTATGTCAGTTTAAATGGTCATATTACTGTTCAGCCTTGCAGCAAGAGAGCTGCTCTTCAGACAGGCAGAGTGACTTGAAAAAGGGGCGCCTCCTAGCCACAGAAGTTAAGTATCAGTTAACTTGCATATAATATCTTGAAGCTGCCCCACTGTCCAGAAGCACTACCTCAACATTACTCTTGAAAGGCCCAAAATGCTCATTAGCCACTGAGACCATGCTCTTTAGTGGTGTTGAGAAAACATCTCCTAGTGGCTTTCAGCAGGCATTCAATGCCTTTGCAGATCAGGTCCCCAATGACACTGCCCCCGCTTTTAAAAATTCCAGTGCACTAAATAGAGTTCTGTTTTATTTTTTCCAACACCTCTCTTGGTGCTATGTGATCCACTGACAGGCTTCGCATGCTGATATGAGGCAGCAGCCAGCTCCATTTACAAACACTGTTTGGGCTAGGGAGTATGCTCCCCAACCAGTGTAGACTCACAGTATTTAATCTCAGTCTCATGTTTGAGTCTATTAAAAAGCTGTAGCCATTTTGGTGATGGTACTGTGCTTTTCTTGATCACTCTCAAAGAGGCTGGAGTGTAGCAGGCTGCCCTGGGGATTTAACCATCACCCCCAGCAGCTCTTCCTAGGTTTAGGATTAGCATGACTTGGAATGAGCCATCTGAGGACAAGGAAGAGTGCTGGTGCAGATGAAAGCAAGAGAGAAGGTAGGTTCAGTTCTGTAGATCAGTGTTTTTTCCCCCCTTCAGCTACCAAGGGCTTTCCTCACAGCCTCATCAATGCGGGGTCTCAGTGCAGACAGAGATATCAGTACTGCTTCCTGGAACCAACAGAAAGTAGGGTCAGATCCACTGTTCAAAGGGTGGCACTTCAGCCCACATCACTTAATACAAACAAGTTTAATGACTGTTTGCAGAAGGGTAGTAGTGGGATTCATGTGCTTGTACCTATAGCAGATATGCCTGCAAATGGGTGCAAAAATACACTAGCCCAGCCAGAATCACTACTGAAACCTTTAGACTCTACAACGCACTCCATTGCTAAAGGGTAGTTTATAAGCTCTTTGGGCTTGGAATTGTTTTTTGTTGGGGATTTGTACAGCACGTATCACAGTGGGCTCCTATATGTCTCACTACCACAAATAATAATAGTTTATCTCCCAGTTCAAACGCTGCACCTAAAGATCTGTTATAAAAAGAGTATGTATTTTAGAAAGACCACTTGTATAATTAGAGCTAGGAGGGCACTACCAAACCCCTTATTTCACAGCTAGCTGAGACATGTTTTCCTCTAAGGAAGGAAGCTACTAGGAGGAAGATGCTGCCATGCATCATGCTATTATTCCTGTTACATACCTCTGTCCTGATGGTGCGGCTGCCCTGGCTGGGACATGTGTTCAGGTAAAGGTCAAACAAGACACTTGGGTCAGCGCTCTCCAGGTTTGGGTCACCATCCACACCAGCCTCCAGGCCTTGGAGACCTCCAAATACTATTAGGATATGGCTGGAAGAGAACAGACACACACACCCAGGTTTATAGGACAGGAGAAGACTGGATCCTACCAGCAGTACCAGGTCAGAAGAAACTACAGTATTGCCCCTGCAATCTTTAACAACACTACTTAGCTCTTATATAGCATTTGTCATCAGTAGACCTCAAAGCACTTTACAAAAAAGGTCAGATGTCATCATCCTCATTTTACAGATGGGAAATGGAGGCACAGAGATGAAGTGATTTGACCAAGGTCACCTAGAGCAGGCTAGTTAATAGAGCCTTTAACAGCTGTATGCAATTTGCTGAAGGCCAGCACAAGTGATGGTTCTGGTTCTTTGTATGTGCTGTAGAGTAAGTTCAGAACATACAGTGTCTAGTTCTCCCAATACACTGAACAAAACACCACTCAGCTATATAACCAGAGAAAAAGGGAACAGATGGCCTTGGAACTAAAGCTGCCCCTGCCCCCAACTGCCAGCCAAGCAGCTGCAAAAATATCCTGAACTGTACCCCACAATGACAGCATCCAGCGAGCTACATTAATGACTGGGTACTCCTGCTTTGACAAATTTGATCAGAAGATCCAACCCATGGAAATGCTCAGGGCTTAGTTTTGGCCTGGTATATGGGGAACACATGTATGGAAAGAATATCAGAGCAGGTAAATCAGGGCTTATCTACACGTACAGCCCTGCAGCACCACAGCTGTAGTGCTTAGCAAAGATGCTACCTACCCCAATGGGAGAGCTTCTCCTGTTGGCATAGTTAATCCACCTCCGCAAGAGGCAGTAGTTCCATCAACATAGCATTGTGTACACCAGGAGTTTGGTTGGTATAAATTACATCGCTCAAGGATGTGGAAAATCCATTCCTGAGAGATGCAGTTATATAGACATACATCTGTTGTGTAGATCAAGCCTCAGAACAGAGCATGGTTGCAAATCCCACCAAAGTGAATGGGAGTTGCATGCTTGCATCTGAGGATATGAACCCTACTGCTGCAGAGGGAAGCCTTGTCAGGGAGAATATTCACACAGCAGCACTGGCTACTGCAGTTCTCTCAAATGCACTGGTTGTTCTATCACAGGCATCTTGCTCCTGGGGCTGGTTTGCCAGCGAAGGGATGGGATGAACAGCAAGGAACCAGTCCAGTTACCTGAAGGAGGGGAGAGTTGCTTGGTCCACACAGGTCCCTCGCTCAGAAGTCCCAATAGAGAGATCATAGCCTTCTTTAAAAGGGCATTCGGCAAAAACAGCACCTGGGAAACAAGCATAAAAGGAAAGTAGATGGTGCCATCCCCTGCTTTAGAGGGTTCTAAATACAGTAGTTTTAAGCATTTCATACTTTATACACCTAAAGGTTAGTAACTAAGAATTGCTTCTACTGCCTCCTACATTTTAGTGGTATTCACTAGTTGTACTATTAGTGAACTATGAGTTGTACACTCATCTTTCTCACCAAGATTCCTCCAAATTCCATCAGCAGAATGGCACCATAATTCCTCTTTCAATCTTAGTATCTTTCCTGAAAAATACTGGCTCTTACACCAAATGTTGAACCAGTCCCAGGCTGGCATGTCTGTCAGGAATCACTCAAGGGCTAAGGGGGCAGTGGGAGTGTTTGGATCTAGCTCACACTCCGTGGTTACATACAGTAGGATGGTACCTCTAGTATTCAAATCTCCTACGTCTGAAGGGGCTCTACAGGGATCTTGTAAGGTTTTGGAACCTGGCCTGCCCAGGAAGGTCCCACTGATTAGCGAGGGAAAGCAGAAGAATTACTAGGGCTCTTAGGAAGCTGTGACACCTGAGCTGTTGATGCTTAAGGGTGGAAACAGGTAGATAGCCAGCGTAGGTGCAGAGCATTATCTCTTGCCTGCACTACTATGATCGCTATTAGAATTTTCCTGTTGGGAAGGGAAACTATCAATGTTCAGATATTGGATCATTCCCCATCTTCTGTATCAATAAGTGAAGTTACTAAATCCAGGGGGCAGAGAGTAAACAGGTGAGTACAGGCTCATTACCATACAACCTTTCCTCCACCACCAGAAGCTATATAGGGTCAAGGAAACTAGAGATGGAAAATACCTATTAAATCATCAATGGCAGCACATGGGCCCCCAAAAATAGGAAGAGGATGTTAAAGAAACAAGCATCTGGCTTGTACTGCAGGTTTGCAGCCAGTATAACTAGAATCTGTGTAGAAGTGAATGTAAATGTCTACAGAGAACTCAGTAAAAGTGGATCTGGCTACTGCTGCCCTGGCCCCAGCAGGTAGGTGACAGAATGCAGTGTAAATACTTACTCAGGCAGGAGGCTAAGCGGACATTGTAACCCCAGTACAGGCCAGACACAGTCCGTGGATGGTTCGAGGACACTACAGTGCCTTTCTGTATTTTACTGTCTGAAAACAAAGCCAGTGGGTTAGCATAGCAAACTGCAGTTCTCCAGCCACTGCTGGAAATCAACCAGCAACCCCCTGTGCCATGTTCCCAACTCTCTTCCCTAGGGCAAAAACAAGCTCTACCCCTTAAATTTATTAAGAAAAGCCTCTAAGAGTTTAGTCTATTCAGCACGGTCTATACATTGATGAAGCTCAAAACATTGTTGAGCTCTAAACAGCGCAAACATTAAGATAGAATAAATGAGTAACTAACGCTCAAACTGAGGGGCATGGGGCTAGTTATTCACTATAACTGGGTATGAGGAATCCTGAACATGTTTAAAGACATCATGTCTGCCACATTGCATCGCCCGAAGGCTGAGGGAGTTCAGTGCAAAGACTAACTTCTGCAGGACCAAGGCTATACTACAGATCACATTGGTAGTATTACCCGTCTAGCCTGTCCAGAGGCAGGATGGCAATGGATTACCTGGATTCTGCTGCTTGTCCAGTTGAACAGTGACTCGAAGACCAGACTCTAGCTGTCTGTCTATCTGTACCTCCTACAACAATAGACCACCAGCACAAAGGGTTTTAGATGCAAGGACACCCACCCACAGGAAAGCTACAGCTGACAAGCAAAAAAAAAAAAAATCACTTTTGGGAACACAAACTACACTCTCAGCCAAGACTACAAGTTCCACCACTGAGCAGTCAGCTGTGCAGTTAGACTCCACACTCTGTATAGTGGGGAATGGACTCTATAAAACCTACAGGCCTTCAAGACACTTGGTTGGCTTAGAACAGCTGCAGTGGATGATGCATTTCCAGTTCAATGTGCTGTATAACAGAATAATCGTTTGTTAATTCAGGCAAATGGTAATTGGAGGATTTTGCCCTACTGCAGGACCCTAAGAGGCACTGACACCTCTACCAGGCCCCAGCAGAGGGTGCTATCAACATTAACACAGAAACCCTGATTAGAGAGAGGAGACTGAATTAAATAAAAATGGGGCTCAGGAAGCATGTGTTGCTAGAAACTGTGTCCCATTCCATGGTGGGACATGGCCCTTCAAGAAACTCACTGGGAGCTTATTGCCATCCTAGTCTGATTGTACTTGACCTTGAAAGGAGTGACTGATAAGTGGAAGGAGTTTACTCTGGGTATCTCAGGGGCAGACAGGCCGTACCTTCCTCATCCCACAGTTAACAAAGGAGCCTTTGCCTGGCTTGGTGGGCCTGGCTAACACCACTCCTTCCCGGTACTCTGAATCCTCATCTATCCGCACATGATGAGGGCTGTCCAATGGATTCAGGAGCCCTGAAACAGAGAAAAGTGGGGGAGGGGGGAGAGATATATTGAAGGACAGATTGCACCTGGAGGTAGATTATAAAGGGATTCATCCTGCTTCTCCAGTCCCTGCCCCCCACGCTCATCACTCCCTCCCCACACTGATGAAAAACCATGAAATGGTCCACATGTGCGCACAGGCAGAGAAGCATCCCAGTTATGAGGAGGAACACAAGCGTGCTCTCTCGGACAAGGAAAAGCCTTAGCAACTGCCACTCCTTACAGACCATAAGGACACTAAGGCCAGGACCACACAAACTGGAATGGTGAGCGGGCTGCCCAGGTAAGTGAGTAGGTATGTAGAGTGGTGGGAGCCCCATGTCTATTTACTTCACCGGGCGGGGAGGGGGAGAAGGGAAGGCCTGAGCCTTAGGGATGGGAACGAGGTGTCAAGGGGATGTAATCACATCCTTACCTGCAAACTGCAGATCCTGATGTTTCGGGAAAAATGATTTTCTCAGGTATCTGTTCAGAGAGATTCAAGTGTCAAAATTGTAACAAGCTTCTTTCAGGCTTCATTTTAATTTCAGATTTCCAGCTTTAATCAGGAAATCAGCCCTGTGGCACCACATACCCCGGAAGGCTAAGGCTCCTACAGAATGTAAATTGGGGATTAATACTGATCATTTTCACCCTACACATTCCTGCAGCTCTTTCAGTTGCCAAGATCTTTTATTTCTTGGGAGTTTGGGTCTGAATTCTAAACAGAAGTTACTGCTCCTCTGGCTCGCATGAGCTCTGATGGTTGCATCCCAACACTGGTAATGCACAGTAGCCCTTTTTCCCTATGCAGATCTCATTCTTCAGTATGCTAATGGTGTACCTGGACTCAAGATGCGAGCATAACAAGTGAATCAGAACAGAATCTATCTCCAGATAGCACAATACAGGAGAAAAAAATATATATAAATGATGTTGGCCCTCCACTACCCAACACCTGCTCCTGCAATCTTTGACAGAGGTGTTACATAATGCCAAGTTAATAAGCTACAGCATTAAACTAAGACAATCTGCATGGTGTGCAAAGTTATCACATTGGTCTTACTGAGGACACTCCAAATATTGTAGAATCCGAGCCAGCTGCACGCAGGCCTGTCCTTTCTTTCCAATCCCATCAAACTGCCCTTCCACAGACCTGAAAGAAAATGGATGCAGTCTGTGATCTTCCAAGACATTTACACAGCCCCTAGAGTGAGTAGATCTACATGAGGCCACATCCCATTCCTTTTTAATTAAAATGTATACAACTAGAAACAGGACTTTAAAAAAGTGGTTCAGGATATAGAGTCCCTCACCCTTGTTGGCAATTCAAGTCTGACCCAGGTCAGAAAAGATCTTACATTATAAAGCAGCCATCAGATACTAGATGGCCTGTGAAAGTAGTAAGTGATATCAGACCAGTACCGACTGGATGGTCGTTGGTCACACAACCACCAGAACTGACATCCTTGTTAATAATCTAGACCAATGACTGGATGGTCCATGAAGCATGATTACAGCTGGACCCTCCGAGTTAGGGAGGAGGGACTGTGGAAAAGCATGACATTCTGCTACCTAGTCTGTGTGAAGGATAAACAGAGATTGTTAGTTTCCAGGGCTGTCAAGACAGCACCTTTTCTCAGCACTACAAAATTTCTTCCTGTAAACCTGTATGCAGTGTTGCTGTAGTTGTGTCCGTCCCAGGATATTAGAGAGACAAGGAGAGTGAGGTAATATCTTTTATTGGACCAACTTCTGTTGGTGAGAGACAAGCTTTAAGCTTGCAGAGCTCTTCTTTAGCTTCCTATAAATCTAGTGTGTGTTCGTTGCATGCTGGTGAGATCCACGCACTTCAGCGTTTACGTGAAACCTACTTGCTCTTATGGGACTTAAGTGTCCTATGGAACCAAGCTATTTCTTGGTTTACATATAGCGTCCAAATTTGCTTCAACAGTGTGCATTTTTACCTTTATCACAGATTTTAACTATAAACCGGGCGCTGAGCTACTTATGCCTTGTCACTTAGTCTGTATGGTCTAGTAGTCCCAAAGAACCTAAATTTGAACGGATTTAGTACTTCTGAAAGATGGCAAGTGTCAGTCTCCAGAGCCACCTTCCCATAGACCGGAACTGTTCATCTAGTCCTTTGGCTTTTTTGCTGACACTAAACAATGATGCACATTGTTTAAGCAAATGCAATCTGGACACCTGTCCGCTAGCAACCAGACACCACCAATTCATCTCACAGGCCACTGAATAGTCACCAGGTGATGGCTTTTGGTTGCTACTTCTGTGGGCTCAGTGCAAAATGGTTATTAACAACCTTCTAGAACCATCCAACCTATTATTTTATTTCAGTCATTAATCTTGCTGTTTGGGGAATAGCCACGGCTGCCCCCGGTGGGCCCACACACACGGAAAAAAGTAATTAGGGAGATCTCATCAAACAAAGTATTTGACAGGGAGAAGCTGCAGCTCTGTTTCCTGCTGGCCTTCATTTGAGACAAGATACACAGAAACTGGAAACACTGAGGGACAGGTTATTCGGGGAAGACAATGTGTCACCCTCACCTTGAATCTTCTCCTTGCTCATCAAACACCACAATCTCATCCACACAGAAGATGGCACAGGCCCTGGCAATTTGCCCAGCAAGGTATGTCCGCAACTCTGGAGACTGTGCATTATTCAAGATGGAGCCTGGCAGAGCTACGCTAACTGTGTAATGACGTCCTAGAAAACAAGAGTGGGATCAGACAGAAGAGCCAGAGCTTGGCAGTTCTACTCCCATTTGTGTTGCTAAAGGGACAGCATTAGCTTTTGGTTCTCTCATTTTAATTGTAAGCTCTTCGGGCAAGGACTGTCCTGTGTTTTCACGGCACCTGGTACAAAGGGGCCCCAATTTGTACTAAGGCTTCCACACTACAAATGATAAGATTCCAAAGCACTCCAATATAGTGCCTTTTACAGAGTAAGGGCCCCACTCCTCTTCCCACAGAAGTCAATCTGACTTTTGCCACTGGCTTTAAAGTGAGTAGGAGAGGGCCCCAAGTCTGAAGTATTGACTAGACTCTAGAGAATTGATCAATGGACACACAGGAATTTTATAGAGGATTGTGCAACAGGTTAGCTAGTTTAAAAAGAACAGGGACTACTGCATTCTTCCTACATGAGTACTAAATGCTTCATCATTTTGTATTGTCCAATACACACGTCTCCTTATTTTTGGCACAAGAATGGAGGGAGGCTACAATAAGGAGGGATTATGGGATTCTGCGACTGAGTACAATGAAACCTATGTTTAGCAACAGACTTTTGCTGCTCTCTTTAGTGGCCACTTCTTAGAGGTGGAGCACAATTGCACTCTGTACACTTGAGGACGCTTAGGAGATGTCTTAAGACAGCAGGTTGTCTATTGAGTGGTCTCACATACACCACTGACTGTACTGAATTAGTGTCTACCTATGTATTTGAACTGGTATGTGATTATACCAGATCTATGAAAGTTAAGTGATAAGATATCCTTTTCTGCCTATACAGGTGAGATGCATCTCAAGCAACTAAAATCTGCCCCTCACACATTAGATTCTTCTGGCCCTCACACACAGCCCTTCCCATCAACTCAAGGCTGTTACCTTTGTCTTCCTTTGCCTTTTCTTCTTCTTTTTGTTTTTCCATCACCTCCTGCATTCTTTTCTTTTCCAGTTTTCTCAATAGCTTTATTTCCTTCCATTTTTTCTTCTCTTCTTTTTCTGAAATGGAGAATAACCATCTGGTTTAAATAAGAAGAGACACAATAATGTAATGGTTTATCACCAGAATTCAAGTAAATTCAAAAACCTACTATGGTTAGGGCAGCTAGACAGGATCTGGTGACAGCATGGGGACAGAGAGAGACAGGGGAGGAAAACAGGAATCAAATATGACATCCAGGTTGTACACCTGATTGCCACATTATCAATAGTAAGGCAGAAAGGACTGTCTCTTCTTTCCTGAGACGAACAACAAAAATGCTAATCAGGGCTAGTTTTTTGTAACATGAAGACACATCCAGTAGAAATTGGGCATGCTTGTCACCTCACACATGCTAACACACCAGTCCTTGGATGGCAACTTCTTGATCGTGAGTCAGCCTAGTTTGGCTTTGAATCAACGACCCACAAGTAAAAGGGCTCTATATTTCATTAAGAACCTGTCCTCCAGCTAGTCAAGCTATTTGATGGATGTTTGAAGGTTTCTTTCTAAAAGCACTGGAAATTATACACATAATATGTAGAAAAAGTGCCTCCTTACTTTCTTGTTTCCATTTACGCCAGTCAACCTTTTTCTCTTTCTCCTAAAAAAGAGGAATGTAAATAGTTTACTGCTATCAACTGGCTAACAAGGATCACAAAAGTTATCAGTACAACAAAAATTGATCCAGATGTAGAGCTCTCTCAACAAGCAAGGCATTGGGAGAGACAGGTTAAGGAAGCGACGGTGCCTCTAGAATCAGAGATCCCTCTCTGCCTTGTTTACAGAAGCAGGATTGTGGCCTTTATTCCAGTTAAGTTGTGGACTCTAGCATTCAAGGGCTCCTTTACACTAGTGAAATTTGCACCCATTTTCACAATGTAGCTACATCAGTGTAAAACTTAAGGTAGGTATACTGTACAAGTAAACATACCCGTTTCAAAATGGTGTATTGCATCGAATCCAAGGGTTTGTACAGAATAGCTACACTTACACCCCCTTCCTCCCTCCTCAACAAACAAAACACAGTATAGATGGGTCAACACTTTCATTTCTGGCCCTTCTAGGGCATGTCTACATTGCACTGTAAACCCAGGCACGTGGGGCCTGTGCTTCTGGGGTTTCCAAGCCCTCGCTTTGAGCACCCTAACTGCATTGTAAATCTGGGTTTACAATTGCTGGACCCAGGTCTGATAACCATGCTAAGGCATCCATACTGCACTATACAGACCTTCTGACCTGGGTCTGTCGCTTGAGGTGCATCCACACTACCAAATGACAGGGCTTGGACCAGGTCTCACTGGGACCTGGACTCAGCTCCCCAGCAGGGCTTAAGACCTGGGAGCTTGCTGACCCGAGTCAGTCAGATTTGTGTGTGAACAGCAGCAAGGCAGGGGGTGGGGTCGGGACTCAAAGCTGAGCCGGATTGAGCTGCTGAGCCGGAGGTTGCCACTGCAGTGTAGACACCCCCCCAGTTGGGAGGGTGGCTCTGACACGTGTCTGCGCCCAGAGCAGCGGGCACCGTAACCCCAGCACAGCCCCTGTCCGGCCTTCAGCCGGGAACGGCCAGCCTGGGCCCGATTCAGATCCCACCCCCGGGTCACTCCGGCCCAAGCCCCCAGTGAAGGCTCGGGGCTCCAGGAAGCCCCCGCCCGGGGAGACAGCCCAGCACGCGGGGCTGCAGAGGACGGGGGAGAGCGCGCAGCGGGCAGGGCTGAGGGGCCCCCAGAGAGCGGACCCGCGCTGAGGCACACCCCTCCCCCCGCCGCCATGACCCACCTGCAGGCCCCGCGGCCGCTTAGCACCACCCGCCATTTTCCACCGCCACTTCCGGTCTCCGCGGATTATTATTGGACGAAGGAGCGCCCAAGGCCCCGCCTCTCAGACCCCTTCCCAACGGCCCACGCGGATGCATCACGTGACAGCGGAGGCGGGTCAAAAACAGCGCGGCCGGGAGAAGCGGCCACGTGCCAGCCCCGCCCTCGCCCCTCCGTCAGGTCCCTCAAGCTAAGCGGGGTCCGTTTCGCTCCACCCGTGGATGGGAGACCGCGCATGGCCAGGCGCTGCTGATACACTGGAGGGGGAGGGGAACTCAGCCAAGTAATGTCCCGCCTAACTCAACGGGCCTGCATAGCACCAGCGGTACCAAAGTCCAGGGGCTCGTGTGTGACCGTAGGGCCATGGACTCTGGGGCCAGGCTCTAGGGCAGGGCCATGGACTCTAGGGCAGGGCCATGCGTACACAGCCGTGCAATGCAAAAAGTAAGCAGCAGTAATGGGAAAAGAAAATGCAATTTTAAATCCCCTTCTTTTTTATTGTAATAATCTGACAATTCCTTTAATCCTCACACCTTTGAAACATACAGGAAAGTGATAGGTGTTTTAAGCTAGCTGCTCATCCTTCCTTGGCCTAGACAGCAAGGCGAATTCTCGTCTCAGGCTTTGTCCACACTGGACTTTCATCCGTAAAACTTTTGTCATTCAGGGGTGTGGAAAAAACAAAACCCACACACCCATCTAACGAAAATTTTACTGACAAAAAGTGCCAATGTGAAAAGCACGGGGGGGGGGGGGGGGAGAGAAGCTCTCCTGCCGACAAAGCTACCACCGCTCATTGTGGGTAGATGTTTTTTTGTAGGCGGGAGAGCCAACAAAGAGCAGCTACACTCTGCACCTTTTAGTGGCACAGCTGTGTCGCTAAATGGTGCGTAGTGTAGACATAGCCTCAGTGTCTCTCCTGCAACCTCCATAGCTTCAGAAGGATTGCAATGGTGTAAGAGTAGAATTTGGTCATTGTCTCTAATTCAGCAGTGTCAATGCAGCCCTCCACATTTAAGGTAAAATATTATTGATAGCCAGAGCAGATGAAGAATGTTAAAACAGAGGTATTAAGTAGACCAATATTTATTCCTTTATGTACATTTTAGTAATTTAAATTTGTACTCTAAATCCTTATTAAAAGATCAGTTATGCTCTGCTTTGGAACGATTTAAGAAGCTAGTTTACATTAATTTAGATTCACATTCTTACCCAGGTTTAAATTAAGATGCTACATCAGAGTTAATTTATCTAAACTTTGTCAAGAATAATCCAGTTGTTCCCACAAGGGAGCATCTGAAAGACACAAATACACAAAATCTCTGCTAGCTCCCCTCACTACTGAATTTCTCTAAAGCACCAAAAGTATACAGGGAAAGGAGGACAGGCCCTGCAACTTTAAATTCTTCCCTTCCTAGTTGAGTCTGTGCATCGTTCTTGAAGGCCCGAAGTACCTGCTTTATAATTTGGGTGATACTCTGCTAGGAGGTGACAATTAGAGCTCAGCCAGGCCTGGTTCTATTAGGAGGATGGAGGGGAGAGTTTAAAGGTAGACTAGACTAGATTAACTACTTGGACTGTCTGTTTTCTGGATGAGCTGGTAGTCCATTCTGCAAGGTGATGGAACAGAAGGAACCAGTGGGAAAAGTTCTGATAAAGTAAAAGTTCACCTGTCATTGGACTCTAATGACTTAGGATCACGGGGACCAGCCTATTTAGAACATATAGAATGTTATGGAGCAGGACAGGGAGCCCAGCAACCATTTTTGCCTTGTGTTTTAGCTGCAGGGAACCCAGTATGAATAAGTTAGTGAAGCTTTTGAAAGTAAAAAAGAGAAAATAAAGTTTTACCAGTGTATATACTGGCTCATAAGTCCCAAGGAACACTAAAACCTTTTTGCTAGTGGACAGCAATAAGAAACTTTGAACCAGATCCGAGGGCTGACAAACCTCTTGCCCATGTGCATGATAGAGAAGGTGACTGAAATCCAATGATGCAATAAAGAGTTAAAATAAAAACAGTAAGCAAAGAATCTGTAGCCACGATGGCTGCATCAAGGAGAGCAGGACATAGCAGCAGATCAGGGCGAGCCTGCCTGGTATTCTGTCCAAAGCATTCACTGGCCAGTTTTCTCCAGACTCCATTGTTCCAGTATGTCTTCTGCTGCCTTCAGCGTAGATTCCGCCTGAGCAAACACCAGACTGTCAGCCCCACCAGGCTCCATGCCCACACCCGCCCTCTCCACACTGAATAATAAGATACAGTTATGTAAGATTTATATCCCCTGTTTCATCCTGAAGGATCACAAATGCTGTATATACAGCACCACTGAAATGCAGCCACGGCTGGGACAGAGGACAGCAGGCACCCAGTGCACACCAATCTCTAAATAGTAATAGAGGATGAGAGGAAATTTTGGCCAGATGAACTGGGGTGAAGCTCTACTTTTATTGAAAGTGCACTGGGATCTTTAGTGGCCATGAATGAACAGAACTTGGATTAGGATCTCACGTGAAAGACACTCACACTGACTTCTTTTTATCTACCTCTGAGGGCTGAAAAATTGAGTCAGTCCTGCCAGACTTTGAACCTGTGGTTCCAGGTTATTGTTTGGTGTTTTAAGCCCCAAGTCTTAGCCACTTATCCCTTCTGGTATATGCCTCATTTACAGCAGTAGCCCTGATCACTGCCTGAACTCACTCCCCTTCTTTCTTGTTGCCCCAGAGGCCTCACCTTCGCAAAGCAGAAGCGGATGAGATGGTCAAAATTCCTCTTGTGTGGAGTGCTGTAGAAAGCGGAGACTGGAATGGAAACTAAACCCTGTGAAGGGGAGGGGGGAAAAAGAGGGTGCACACAAGGTTAATTTTTTCTTAGCCTCTGCACATTGCCTTGTGCCACTCTCTGATCAGAAAAAGACCCATACCTGCAGTAAGTTCATTGCTCCTGGACACCCCAGGTTACTGAGCAGACATGAGCCACACTTCCAGCTGCTTGCTTTTCAAGATCAGAGTCAAACATCTCAACAGAAGCCATCTTGCCACCCAGCAAACCAGGCATTATCCCCCCCACCCCCACCCTGTGTCCTTGGCGGACACATTGGTGGCTTAGCCTCTGGTGTCAGGATGCTCACAGAGCCAATCGGCAAGATGAACATCAGGGTGTAACAAGATGATCAATTGGTTCAGAAGGACATCGCAGAGGGGGCATCATACCCTGACTTCTGAAGGAACATGGTGGAGGGTGGGGATATAACCAGATGGCTAATCTAGGATATGCCATTAATGCGCTCCTTTGGTAGACAGGACACTAGAAGGAAGGAAGAGGATTTGAATTACAAGGCCGTGTACTCGACTGGGTGGGGCAATGGTAGCAAGCCTCAAGTAACAGGTCCAATGTTTTCAAGTATTGACTTGAAATCACCATCACAAAATCCAGCTCCCTCAAATGGAACTGGAGCAAAGAGAATGGGGAAACCATCCCAGAAAACAAGCACCCTGGAGAGAGACAGAGGCATTTACCTTGTTTATAATCATCCACTTTATAAACCGAGAGTCATAGGGTTCATCAGAATCCGGGAGGTCAGGTACTTCACTTTCTGCAAGACACACACAGCAGAATGGGCAAGGGGAATGATGGAACAAATGGGACACAGATGGATTTCCCAATTGAGCCAGGTACCCACATGGCGCCAGATGCCATTGTGGGCAAGCACAGTAGTGTGTCCCCTCTAGGGACTTGGGTTCGAACTCTGGCTCAGATGAAAACACATACGGCTATTTCATCCTTTTCCGTTTAACAGAGTCGTCAGTCTCTGCTCAAGAGAATCTCAAGGCCAGGAAAGATCCTCGCACAGAGGTGGTCACTGGCCACACACAGGTGAATTTGTAGATGTGTGGGAGACATGGCATAGCACATGCTCACGCTGTGCCCAATTTAAGTCAGTGCTACTAGATCATCACTTCATTAAGCAACAAATTCCCCACCACTACCTGCCATTGTCTTTCCTTTCCCTACTCAAAGTGAAGAAAATGGACCAGGCTTTATCTTATTCTAGACTCCGCAACACCCACTTCCAAGCTGTGAGCTCCATCCCTTTAATGTGCAGGTCAGAACCAGATAAAACAGTCATGTGAACTTACTGAACTCTGAGAAGTCTGCCAGCAGGAAGTAGGTGCCCTCAGGGACAATGGGCTTCATGCCCCCAGCAACTAGGCTCCGAACTAGCCAGTCCCGCTTCTGCTGCAGCTCCTGAGCCAGCTGGACAAAATAACTGTCTGGCTTCCCATAGTTGTCAAACTCTCTTTGGAATGCCTGAGCCACTGCTTCCTGGAGAGAGAGGGGGATGATGGAGAGAGGAACTCAGACCCAGGCAGAAAGCATCCCCTGTGCATGCTCAGAGCATCAGAGGGACCCCTCTCCCCAGCCAAAAGCAGCAAAATGCTCAGAGTTTGCGGTAGGCTTACTTGCAAATTCTAGAGGCAGCCCATGAACTGGGGTTTTCACTTCTGTTCAGATGCATAGGAGATAACAGGTGGGTTAAAACACCAGGCCTAGATCAATAAAATCTTTGCTTCCCACCCCTCACAACAGAAAACCTCCTCCCCCAGCTCCGGAGATAGCCAATACTGTGCAGAGAGCATACTTGACAATCTGGAATCACTTGACTCTGTCCCCTGCCCTCCTGGCATGTTGTGAAGTGATTTGAGAGGAAGACACCCTGGGTCACAATGCATCATCTTCTGTCTGTTTCCTGGGCTGACAATGCCTCTCTGGCTGTTCATTTGCCACTTCCGAACCATAGACAGGAGGCTTGAGAAAGGTGTTCCTCCAATGTCCTAACCTGGCTATTATACCACCCAAGGGACAGAGCAAGCTTGCCGGTTCTGCACCTGCTTGGGGAAGTGGCATCTTACCTGGATGGTGTGTGAGTGAACTCTTACCTCTAGGCTCTGCACAGTTGTGGTCTGGGGAGACAATTACCAGATCTCTCCCCGGAGGGCCTT